ACCAATTAATCAAATAGTTTGCTTAATTTGACATTAGAAAATAAAGAAACCCATCTTTAATGCTACATATTTTATATTTATGCTGTTCACATATTGTTTTGGTTCATCAAATTATTGCATTTATATTTCTGTAATAAAAACTGTAACAAACTGTATTTGAATATACTAATAATATGTCTATATTGATCTCATCTTCACAATGCCAATCTATACAAACTGTGTTTAATACCTTGACTGCAATAGCCACCTTTCTTTGTATCACTGAAATTTGTAGATGCAGCAATTTGATTCTGGTCTGTAAACAATAAGCCATGATATTTCCAGTCTGTTTCTGGAATGCTTTGATTGGCTGTATTTGCTTGCGCTTCAATCGAACTAACTGCATTCTGTGTCAGAAAAAAGGTTACTGTTGCAGTCAAGGTATAAGATGAAGTTCGTAATAGCTTGACTTTGTGAAGAGCACTGTAGAGTATATTGAGCACTATTTTAACAGTGAAAATGTTTTGTTATTGTTACATTGCATAATACAAAAACATATTAGTGCAGATGACAAAAATACTGAAGTGACAACATACACTTTTAAAAAGAATTATTGAGTTCTTAATTGCCTGGTGCAGCTTGCCCAAAGGCAATTCTGTGGCCACTTTTCAACCCTTCCACCTAATGATTCCTATAAATGCCACTGTTCATGCGATATCTACCCTGATATGTTGATTATTACCAATTGTTTTCTAATTTGAATTATTTTTTGTATATTTCAGTCTCGATTATTAGAAGGTGGTATATTACTCTCAACCTATGGTATCATATTAGTTATTTTAAGATTATATTTTATGGAAAATAAACCTCCAGAGTTTGCACCGTCCGACAACCCTGCCTCAGATTCTAATAGTTTTTTAACTCGTACCTTAACTTATAATTTTTTACCTGCCTATAATGTATGGATATTGTTATGTCCCAGTGTATTAAGTTTTGATTGGTCGATGGAATCTATTCCTTTAATTCAAAACCTTGCAGATTTTAGAAATATATGGACGTTGTTATTATACTCTATTTTAGTGTACATAGCCATGAAAATTTTAAAAGATTTAAGCAAAAGTCGTTATAGTAATTTATCTCATTTTGTAAACCACATTCAAATGGAAACGGTGTTGGACATCATTCAGCTAGTAATACAAAAACAACGGTTTACGCCAAAACAAGATTAAAACGTCGAGGATCTAATAGCTCTACAGATAGTTGTGAAGAAATGCCTTTGTTTGCTCAAAAAGATTCCAGCAACATTGAAATTTTGATCATTTCGCTGTCCATAATAATATTTCCCTTCATTCCTGCGTCCAATATGTTTTTCTATGTGGGATTTGTGATAGCTGAAAGGATCTTGTACATTCCAAGTATGGGAATTTGTTTATTAGTGGCACATGGTGCTTGGTTGTTATATAAAAAGTGCTGTGAAGACTGGTTAAAGAAAAGTGTGATTGTCTCTGTTATTGTGATTGTTTTATTGTTTAGTGTTAAGACTGTGTTAAGGAATCGTGATTGGCAAACAGAAGAACAATTGTATCGATCTGGTATTCCTGTTAATCCTGCTAAAGGTGAGTCAGCAACCGCACCTCATCTATTGGTGGCTTTAGCCATACATTCTATCCTACTTTTTCCTCCAATTTTTTCTGCACATAACAGTGATTGATGTTGCTGATTTTTCTCCTCGGCCTGTGCTTTCGTAATTTATATACCACTTTCACCTACTTCTTTGCGTCTCTTTTGTTTGAAATTAAGTAGAGAGTAGAGACTGGATTTATTCCAGTGTCCATGCAAAACTTTTCCCGCATTGTACATGATCTTGTCCATCTTCTTTAGCATAATTAGTCACTGAAAATTAGGAGGTGAAACATTGTTTCATTTTAAATGAATTGAGATCAAATTGTGAATTGAATTTTTATGGGAATTTGTTTGGTTATGAAAATTTAAAGCAACTTTAGGTATCTACTGAGAATTTTAATGTAAAGTTTAAAACCAGCTTAATTGCTGAATGCATTGTGTTTACTCTGAGTTTAACTGGTTCTCGAACAACTTTAACCTTAACCACAAAGTCCCACACATTGATGACAGCATTGCTGAACAAGAAAAAGCTGGATTTTGCGTAACCATTGAGTAAATTGAAAGCCCGCTTTGATCTAGCTTTCAATTGGGCCCTACTAATTGTCGAAAGCATGTTAAAAAACAGTAACGGTTCAGCAATTTTCTCCAATGGAAACACAGTAAAGCTAGCTCAAAGAAAGCTTTTCCCATTGCCGTGGAACACCCAAACTCCCTTGACATTGAAATTTATGAAAAGGTGAAAAGTGTAGCAGACGTAAGAAAAAAGGGTGTGAAATTGATGAAGATTGTTGTCAATATTAGTTTGGTTTAAAATACATACTAGAGTGATAATAGATTAACCATACCAGTTTAACATGTCTTTTTTTACATAGTATATTTCTTCATCATGTACTGTGCATTTTAAAATACTTTGCAATGTTATTTTAGTTACATCTCATTTCTTTTAGATCTTCTATTCTATTTGAACTTCTATTAGATGCATTTTTAATTATTTGTTGTATTGGAGGAATATGCAGCCATTCCTATGCAGAAAAGGACATCTGTATGTTCTAAAGATG